AGGATGCAGATCGATTGATATGAATTTGATTTGGGGGTGTGAAATTGTACTGAAGGTATGAATTGATTGTGGTTCTTTTATGAAAATTAGATGAAGGATGAGGATTAATTTGCAATTTAAAAAACCTTTAATATAATATACTTTAAGTAATGAGTTAAATAGTATATTATTAAAAGTTTAATATTTATAAAATATTGATTAGCATATTTTAAAAAATAAAGTCGACAATAAAATAACATAAACGAAGTTTTAAAATTAAAAAAAGCTAATTGAACCGATATATAAAATTTTGAATCGAAACAAATTTTAATCCATCAAGTTTGATTGAATGTGTGCAGTCTGAGAGACACTTATGTGCAATTTAATTAACACTATTGTGCAAGACTTTACTCGCAACTCCGCCCAGATTTGCCATCATATCCGACGCCATCGGAGATCCCTTCATGTCCGGCGTCTCAGTCGACTGTGGTGCCGGTGACAGGGGACCTGAAGATCTGAAATTGAAGTGTTGGGGGTTGTGCCTTTTTGTTGAGAATTAGGTTAAGTCTAGGGTCTATTTGTAATTTTAATAATTTGATTATATTCCAATTTAACCCCAAGGGTCAAATCTGTAAAGAATGAAAGTTAATAAAAAATGATTGTTTATATACTTTGTTAACAATGCATAAAGCTGGGGCGGCGGCGTTGAGTCAGCTCCTTTTCCCAATTCTCGGGAGCTTTCTCGGTGTTTCCAGCAATGGGGAGAATTGGCTTTGGGAGGGTTTCGTGGCTTGAGATTCGATTCAGCTAGGCAATTCCGCAGTGGAGGAGTCGCTCTTCTCAGGCTATGGAATCCCCTTAGGTTGATTTGGTGACTGCTTGTTTGGTTAGGATTTGGTGTAGAGGAAGTGCTAGTGTATTTTGTTGTTGTCTTTGACCCAGACCCCATTTTCTCCCTTAATGCTTGTGGGAGTGTGTTTATTGGAGTAGAGGAAATAGAAAACCTAGTCTTTTTAATTTCTCTCTCTCGTTCAAGACTTAGCGCAGCTATTGTCCTTTTATCTGTTATCCCAAATCACGCCCGCAGTCATCAAACTGTTCCTCTCGCTGGATCAAATCTCATGACCATCATCTCCTCCCTTTCGTTTTTGATTTCGATCGCGCATCTCTCCTCTCAAACAATCTCTCGCCGTAATGTTATTTTTTCTCACTCTCGGTTTACATCAGAGAAAGAGAAATCCCGCAGCTCTTAACTTTCTCTCTCTCTCTCTCAACCCTTCCAGTCCCTCAAATCTCTCGCAAATCCGTCACCGCCGGCAGCCACCATCTCCCTCGCGAACGGATCTGTCGTCAACTTCCTCTCGTTCAAGAAGAAAAAGGAAACTGCCGGTCTGCAACTCCCCCTTCCCGAACCTGACGCCCTTTTTCCGCGAGGCGCCACGTGAACCAGCAGAAGCCGCCGGCGAGTCCTCCTCCGCGATCCCCTCACGCCTGTAAATCCTCCGACGAGTCTGCTCCTCCGCGCAAGTCGCCGTCTGCAGCACCTCCTCGAGCTCTCGTCACGGGTGAGCCCTTGTCCACGCGCAGCCGACCCACACAGCAACTCCGGTGACCCCCGACTTCGCACAGCAACTCGGCAAGCATCTCCTTCGCGTCGGAGCATCCCAGCAGCGAGCACAACTACCGCACAGTGCTTCCACGACCCTGCTGCTCCTCCGCGGGTCCACCAGCGAGCCGAGCGTGAACCGTCGAGTCGAGTTCCGTCGGCCAATTACCGTGAACCACAGCAGCCCTTTCCAGCGAACCCGTGCGCCGCTGCTCCTTCTCGAGCCGCCGCTTGAGTCGCTGCTTCACCGGTGAGCCGCACGTGACCCGTCGTTAGCCCCTCTCTTATCCGTTTTCGAGCGTCTTTCCGGAGAACGGTAACGACGGCTTGAACCCTACATCTTTTCGTTGTTATGAATTGATCGTGTTATGTGATTCGTTATATGTTATTCAAGTAACATGTGATATAGATATATGTATTATGTATTGATCGATGATATATATTATTTTGTCGTGTTATTCGTGTTAAGTTTAAACGTGCTATGTAATTGTGATTATGATTTCATGTGATTACGTTTGAATATTAATGTCGTGTTAGACGTGATCTTGGTCGATTCGTGCGAATCGAATGAGAACACGTTAAAAGTGTTAAGTTGCTGCGGATTTAGGAACTTAGGATTTTTGCGAACACAATGGCGTTGGCCTTGTGTCGATTGGGAGTGTAAATTTGTAGTTATGCTTTTTCGAAGATTGAAATTGCTGTTTTAAATGTAAAATTCACTATAAATCGAATACTAGTCCGATTTCCTTGAAATTTTAGGAGCAGCTGTTTTTGATAATATGTAGCTGCTGTAAAATTTTCGTGATTTTTAAAGGTGTTTAGCTATTTTTAAAAATTAAATTGTTTCTGTCCAGTTTCTTGAAAAATGCATATGTAATTGTGTAGTGTTCTTTTCTTGCCAATTTTCGAGTCTGTCTCGTTGTTTTAAAGTTTCACGTGCTTTTATTTGAAACCTCGAATTTGAAAGGCATGAACGAGATTTTGGATGGTGATTTGTAAACATCATCGTCAACACCCATCACTTTGATTTTCTTATTTCGCCCTTCAAGATTTGAGGTGTTTATCTAGCCTGCACCAAGTTAAATCTTGTCTAACGGACTTCTTGTGCTTCGTCTTTATGATATGTGATCAAACAAAGAACATAAAAATGGAATCTTTACAACATTGCTCGTTCAAATTTCTCAATAAAACACGTGAAATGGCCGTAATCCATGTGAGCATGCTTACTGTTTGATAAAACGCCTAGCCGAAATTTTGGAACACCGTTATCATGGCTTGTTGGGTTTTGCACGCTTTGAAATGCTCTATCTTTACTTCATTGCATATGATCTAGCTTCTCAGTTGGTTAACCAAAAATTGATTTGAAAGACTTGAAAGGTGAAATCCGGTTCCATGGAGAGGACAGATGATGAGGTGATGGCGGAGCGGCTAGTAGAGACTCGAGCAAGAAATATAAGCCACAATGTGAGGTGTACTGAGTGTGGTAGTCAGTCCATTGAGGATTCACAAGCTGACATTGCTATTCTCCTCCGTAAGGTATTGTTTTCTTATCGTTTTCTTTTTGGTACCTTTCATACTCTTTCCTTTCCATATTATAACATTTTATTTTTATGTATATTCTCATGCCCTTGGAGTGATTTTTCTGTTAGAAAATCCCATGACATGAGAAAATGGAGATTTTTAGTCTTGAGTCAGCCTTTTTGTTAGATCCTGTATATTAACTTCTGTATCATTTTGGGATGAGCATAAAAGGTACACTAATTCCATTAAAGCTCTGTTTTCTTCAGAAACCAACTGTGAAGAGGGGTTCTCTTTTGAGAGTACAAAACATTGAGAATACATGCTGTTTAGAGGACTTTGTAATTCTTAATTTTGTGAGATAGCCTGATCTTTTTTCTCTTTTCTTGTTGTGGTGGTAATAGGATGAAATCTCATGCGTAAAGATTTGGCGCTATGCCGACATTTTCTTGTCTAATTTGAATAACAATTGAGCTATTAGGTGTATGGTCGAGGTTCTTTGTTTCTACTTTTCTAATTTTCGCTTCCCATTTTTTTTTAATTGATTAAAAATGTTGTTTTCCTATATTCAGCCATTATTTCCTTTCATCCACAACTAGCTCAGACATATGCATTCAGTGAGCATCAGCTAATTTTTTTCGCTTTTTCTGCCAAAGTTAATACGTGACGAAATTCGGTCGGGTAAAAGTGACAAAGAAATCTTCAAGAAGCTGGAGGATGATTTTGGCGAGAGCGTGCTTTACACGCCAAAGTTCGACATGCAAACTGCAGCTCTGTGGTTGTCCCCGGTCAGTTAAAAAAGTTCACATTCAGTTATTGTGGGTGTGATTGTTTACCAATTATCTCATTCAAATTTAATTCATACTCAAAATCCAATTCAACTTTAACTCAACTTCACTATCTTTAATATTATTAATATAATTGAATAATACAAACTAATCATTCTTACACATCACATCAATTTTAATTCATTATTCATCCACTCACATAATTTTATCTAACCATCACTACACATCATCTCTCTCCTACTTTTTACATCAAATCAACTTTAATTATTTTATTTTAAATATTATTTTAATATAAACTAAAAATACCACTAACAACTAACCATACTACATTTTTTTAAAATTGACCAAAGCGAAAAACTCATTTTGAGTCCTTATGGGGTATTTGTAATTTTCAACAATAATTTGAGTTTTTTTGCAAACAATATGAATCTCATGGATAGTATGAGGCACTAACATAAAATGCGAAAAGCAGCTTGTGTTTGCAGGTACTGCTGGAGGTGTGTGGGCGTACAAAAGGTACAAGCGAAAAACGAACGTGCATATAATGGCCTTAAACCTCGTGAGAGGGGTCCCACTAACACCAAAGGAGAAGGAGACTATGTTGGATCTCCTCATGCCATCTTCTTCTCAGGCAACTTCATCTTGGTGGAGAAAATGGCTTTCTCAATGAGTTGAGAATTTGTATCTGTCCATTCTATATATCGACATGCTCATGCTCATAACCTTAAATGTTGGGGTTTTGTTGCTTATTTGAAGGGTTTGGGAGAGCGGGTAGACTATTAAAGATGTAATCTTTTGTTCAGTTTTTGTCTTGAAATAAATACTTGCTTTGTGGTGTGCTATGTGATATGCTGCCTGTGTTGGTATAATTTTTTCTGTACTTATCTAATATATTCAGTCCAACAAATCAACTTCTATCCTATGCTTCAACACATAGTGGCACCAAATTTGTTTCTCCAAAACAGTCCAACCAGATTTCGGGAAAGAAGCAATAAAAACATTCAAGTTGTCATGAATACATCCCTTGAGAGCAAGAAAGATGCAAGCAGCAATAAAAACATTCAAGTTATGAAGAACACATCTGTCGAGAGCATCACAGACACAGAACAGGTTCACAAAACAACAAGAAAACAAATCATGGGCACATTTGAAACAGGTACACATCAAAATATACCTTTTCTTACCTACATGATTGTAGCAAAATTGTCATCATCATGCTTGGATATGGAAATCATAAGAGAAAAATAAATTGAAGTTAGATATATGAATATAGAGTTACATGATTTATGTATTATTTCATGATGTGGCTTTGCTGTGAAAGCTTACCTTTTTTTATGCAAGCAGCTTTAACCTCCAAGTCATGTTTGCTCCACATCAATGCAACCAAAAATAAAACAAAATATTACACTTTTGTGTTAGTGAGATTGCACCTTAACATAACACATGCACGATCATGTTAATTAGATTAATAATATAAAAATACAAAAATCATAAATATTAAATATATTGTTATTACATAAATAATTTGATAAGTGCACAGTAATTTTAATTACATACACATTATGAAAAAAGTTTAAAATTGAAATGCACGTTAATGTACGGTTTCAATTAACATACAAAATATATTTTTACAATAAATCACGAACCATCTCAGGGATTTAGGGTAAATCGGATAACGAATCGATTAAACCGATTAATTCAATACAATTATAGGTAGTGCATTTTATATATCAATACGTTACACTTTGTAAGACAACATTTTGCACTTTATAAAACAACACGCTGCACTTTATCACAGCGCTCCACCATTAACGTCGATAACTCCAGTCAAATGTTAAGCTCGAGCTGTTTGCTAATTTTCTAGATTAATTTTGGTATTTTTCTGTAATTTTCACGAGTAGAGAGGGAGAAGAAGATCAGTAGAGAGAGAAAGGGATAGAGAGAGAAATAGGAGAGAGAAACATTCTGTTAGCCAAATCTGATATTCTCTGACAGTCACGCGGGTTTTAACCCTACAAGATGGTCCCACAAATAACATAAATATGGGCCTAGAACAAACTCTAGCCCAAGTCAAATTTAGCTAATATTTCAGTAATAAAATAAAAGAGCCATAAGGCCCAATCGAAACAGCAATGAAAAGGGCCCAAATGACGTATGCTAATCTCGGCCCGTCAAAGGACACAATTTATCTCCTCTTTTGTCTTCATCTCCAACCCTAATTCCCTTGGTCCCGATTCAATTTCTCTTTCCCATTTTGAGCTTTGTTCTTCTTCTTGCAAGATCGCACCTTTTTCTTCGTTTTTCGCAGCATTTCCGGCCAAAGGTGTAATCTTTGGATCACCTGAGCCTCGGTACATGACATTACCCCCGGCAATTTGAGATCCTTGACCGCAAGGATCTAATTTCGGAAAGTGACGACGGAGAAAGCTCACATCTTCCCAAGTGCAGAGCGCCGGTGAGGTGTCAGACCAAACGACGAGGGCCTGAGGTATTTCTCTTCCACTTCTGAGAACCATTCTTTTGTCTGTAGTGGCGATTGGTTCTGTCCTGATGGTACCCTCATCATCCGTGGCAGGCAACTGTGGTGAAGGCTTGATGTGTGGGTGAAGCCGACGTTTAAGAAGGGAACAATGGAAGACCGGATGGATTTTAGAATCAGCGGGCAAAGCGAGCCGGTAAGACACTGCACCTATCTTCTCCAGTATAGTGTAAGGGCCATAGAACTTAGCGGATAATTTGATGTTCTTTCGCAAGGAAACTGAGTGTTGTTTGTATGGCTGTAATTTGAGGAACACTTGTTACCCCACTTCAAACTGTTTATCCTCTCGTTTTTTATCTGCATAGAATTTCATTCTGGCCTGTGCCTGAGTAAGATTAGCTTTGAGTTGTTGAGCTTGCATTTGCCGTTGCTGCATGAATTCGTTGACTTCTGTGTGAGTAGAGTCCAGGTAAGGTGTCAAAGAAAAGGTTTGGGGTGGGTAGCCATAGAGAGCTTGGTAGGGAGTCATTTTGAGGCTTGAGTGAAAATTGGTATTGTACCAATACTCAGCCAGAGTAAGCCACTTCATCCAATGTCTGGGATTAGAATGAACCATGCTCCTTAAATAATTCTCAAGACACTGATTTAGCCTTTCAGATTGACCATCTGATTGTGGGTGGTAAGAAGAGGTCATATTCAATTGTACCCCAAGTAATTTAAACAGCTCTTTCCAAAATATGCTAGTGAATACCTTATCTCTGTCTGAGACAATGCTCACTGGCAGTCCATGCAGTTTGTAGATGGTGTCTAGGAATAAGGTAGCCACAGTTGGTGCAGTAAATGGATGAGATAAAGCTATAAAGTGGGCGTATTTAGTATACCTGTCAATGACCACCATAATAACATCCTTCCCTGCTGATTTAACCCTCAATAAAGTCCATGGCAATGTGTGACCAAGCCTTATCAGGAATAGGAAGTGGCTGTAGCAAACCCTGGTAAGCACCAGGAATAGACTTACTCCTCTTACAATCATCACAATTCTGAACCCATTTAAGCACATCTGCCTTCATACCTGGCCAATAAAAAACCCCTTTGAGTCTCATGTAAGTACCAAGTACCCCAGAATGGCCACCATAGGAAGAGTTGTGCATTGTCGACAGAATACTTTCCTGCAACTTAGCCCCTTTTCCAACTACCAGTCTACCCTTGTACCTGATGAGCCCTTCCTTGACTGCAAAAGTAGGATAGGAAGTAGGATTGATAATGTTGGCAGCCAGAACCTTTGATAGGTAAGGGTCCCCTTGGTAACTATCTTTGACATCTTGGACCCATGTGGGAGTGACAGTGGTTATAGCCAAACACTGATCATCAACTTCACTCCTGGAGAGAGCATCTGCTGCTCTATTTTCTGTACCCTTCTTGTATTTGATCTCATAATCTAATCCCAATAGCTTAGTGATCCACTTTTGCTGAATGGGGGTCATAATCCTTTGGTCCAGTAAGTGCTTAAGAGCTTGCTGGTCAGTCTTAATAATGAATTTGTGACCCTGCAAGTAATACCTCCACCTTTGCACTGCCATGAGCACAGCGAGAAATTCTCTCTCATATATGGAAAGTGCTTGATTCTTAGGGCAAAGCACCTTACTCATGTAAGCAATAGGTTGTCCTTGCTGCATCAGAACAGCTCCCACCCCTTTGCCACTAGCATCTGTCTCTAATGTGAAAGGTTTGGTGTAGTCAGGGAGTGCCAGAACTGGTGCACTAGTCATAGCTTGTTTAAGCTCCTGAAAAGCCTTTTCTGCCTCTGGGCCCCATCTAAAGTTGTCCTTTTTGAGTAGGTCAGTGAGGGGTTTGCTGATGATCCCATAACCCCTAATAAACTTCCTGTAGTACCCTGTAAGTCCCAAAAACCCTCTGAGCTGTTTTAGGGTCTTAGGTATGGGCCATCTTACCATGCTCTCTATCTTCAGGGGGTCAGTGGATACTCCCTGGTGAGTGATGATGTGGCCCAAGTATTCAATCTTTTCTTGAGCAAAGTGACACTTACTCCTTTTTGCATAAAGCTGATTATCCTTTAGAATGGACAAGACTACCCTCAAGTGCATTAAATGATCCTCCCATGTCTTGCTATAGATTAAGATATCATCAAAAAACACAAGAACACATTTCCTCAACAATTCCCTGAATAACTTGTTCATTAAGGACTGAAAAGTGGCTGGTGCATTACAAAGCCCAAAAGGCATCACCAAGAACTCATAGTGCCCATTGTGAGTTCTAAAAGCAGTAAGGGACCTATGCTCCTTGTTCATGAGGATTTGAAAATACCCAGACCTGAGATCTATTTTAGAAAAGTACTTAGCTCCCTGTAGCTCATCCAACAACTCATCTATCACTGGGATGGGATAATCATGCTTGATGGTCAACCCATTAAGATACCTGTAGTCAACACATAGTCTCCAGGTGGCATCTTTCTTTTTCACTAAAATAACTGGTGAGGCAAAAGGACTTTTGCTGTCTTGGATAATTCCTGCATCTAGCATTTCCTTCACAATTTTTTCAATTTCTGTCTTATGAGTGTGAGAGGACCTGTATGGGAATTGGTGCTTAGGTACACTGTTAGGTTTGAGGATGATCTGGTGCTCCACTCCTCTGCTTGGTGGTAAGCCCTTAGGCTCCTGAAAAACCACTTGGAACTCTTCAAGTACTGCTTCCACTTCTTGTGAGTTATTTCCAGACTCTGGTTTGGTAAAGGTAACCCAGTAAACTTCCTCCACCCTCTCAAGGCAATCTTCATGTATCAATTTATATAAAGATGGTCCTGAGATAAATTTGCATTGAGCCTCAGATTTCATAGCTTGTATTTTAACTCTCTTGCCCTTTGAGTTGACTGTAACCCTCATTTTTTCATAATCCAATTCAATGGGTGTGCAACCCTTCAACCAGTCACCACCCAAAATCATGTCACATCCTTCATTGTCCAGCACCCTCAGAGGGTAAGAGAAAGTGTGGCCCTGCATTTTCCAGTTAAAACCCTCTGCTACTTGAGTGCTTAACATTCTCTGCCCATTAGCAACCCTGACAACAATGGGAGTAGTTTCTGTCAAGGTTAAATTGAGATTCTTTGCAGTGCTAGCTTGAATGAAGCTCAGGGTACTCCCAGAATCTATGAGGATATGTAACTTGTGTTCCCCAGTTACTCCATACACCCTCATAGTGGTTAGTCCATCCTCTCCTGCAATAGAATTCAGGGACATCTGTATCTCTTCAATATTCTCAAATATTTCCCCTTCTCCATCTGTGGTGTCAACAGTTTGCAAGTAACTGACCTCTTCCTCTTCAGTCATCACCATGTAATTAAGTCTATGTTTGCACCTGTGACCATAAGTGTATTTTTCATCACAGTTGTAACATAGCCCTTTGTCTCTCCTTGCTGCCATCTCAGCTGTGGTAAGCATTTTAACAGGGCTTCTCTGTGAGTTTTGACTGTTTTTGGTAGGGATATTGAAGTGCACCTCTGGTTTCCTGGTTGACTGAAAGGTGGATGTGTAGGGTTTATTAGGACCTTTCAACCTCTTGGTGATGGCTTCCAAGGTAGCTAGCTGTTTCTTCCCTAATTCAATAGTTTGATGTAGGGTAACTGGTTCAAACATGAGAATAAAAGATTGTAGCTCCTCAGATAGACCACTAATAAAGCTTGCAATGAAGTAGTCCTCTGAATAATCCTGGTTCATACATAACATGCAAGCCCTTAGCTCCTCAAATTTTTCAACATACTCCCCATAAGAGCCAGTGTGCCTCAACTTATTGAATTCCCCAATGATTTTGGAATCCTTTAGTTCTTCAAACCTGGCAGCTATAACTTCTAAAAACTGTGCCCAGGTTAACTCCCCACACTTGTAACTGAAGTTTTGAAACCACTGAGCTGCTCTCCCTTCTAGGTGCATTGAGGCTAAATTCACTTTCTGGTGGTCTGGGATATTGGGTATAATTTTGAAGTAGCTGTTGCACTTTAGAATCCAGGATCTGGGGTTACTACCATCAAAACGGGGAAATTCAATTTTGGGTAGGGGGTTAATGATGTGTGGGCTTGGGTTTTGTTGAGGGTTTGAGTCTTGCTGTTGTTGTTCAGTTGTGAATCTGGTGTTTTGAATTTTGAAAGATCCTTCAGGCCTAGAGTTCTGATAAGGGCCAAAAATAGAGCTCTCCCCAGTCCCTTTGCTCTTCTCCATATTCAATAATTGAAGTTGCATAGAAGCTAAGGTATTAGAGAAGTGGTCAAATTTACCCTGTAGCTGAGTTTGCAAATCTGTGTTTGCAGCTTTCCAGTCCGAGCTTAACTGTGTGATTTGGTCATGAAGCTTCATCTCTGCTGCTTCTCTTTTAAGAAGCTCAGTTTGTATAAATTGATCCATTTTTTTCTGTGTTTCCTGCAGGTCTTTGAAGCGTGTTCCCTCAGCCATGGCCAGAAGTTGGCTCTGCGTACCAATTGTTAAGCTCGAGCTGTTTGCTAATTTTCTAGATTAATTTTGGTATTTTTCTGTAATTTTCACGAGTAGAGAGGGAGAAGAAGATCAGTAGAGAGAGAAAGGGATAGAGAGAGAAATAGGAGAGAGAAACATTCTGTTAGCCAAATCTGATATTCTCTGACAGTCACGCGGGTTTTAACCCTACAAGATGGTCCCACAAATAACATAAATATGGGCCTAGAACAAACTCTAGCCCAAGTCAAATTTAGCTAATATTTCAGTAATAAAATAAAAGAGCCATAAGGCCCAATCGAAACAGCAATGAAAAGGGCCCAAATGACGTATGCTAATCTCGGCCCGTCAAAGGACACAATTTATCTCCTCTTTTGTCTTCATCTCCAACCCTAATTCCCTTGGTCCCGATTCAATTTCTCTTTCCCATTTTGAGCTTTGTTCTTCTTCTTGCAAGATCGCACCTTTTTCTTCGTTTTTCGCAGCATTTCCGGCCAAAGGTGTAATCTTTGGATCACCTGAGCCTCGGTACATGACATCAAAACTCTGCACAAGTGCACTTTATACATCAACACGTTGCATTTTGTAAAACAATACATTGCACTTTATAAAATAAAACCCTGCACTTTATTACGGGGTTCTTTACTTATGGGATACAAGTGAAGTCAACCAGAAGCTATAAACATCGGTGGCAGGTTGAACCAAAAAATACTTGGTTTTCCACCAAGAAACATTCCAAGACAGGTCGTGTAAGAATTTAGCCTTATTGTGAGCTCCTTGGCAATGGGTTCTCTTTTGGAATTTCGGGATTAGTGTACTCGTGGGCCAAGGACGGAGTTCGTCAGGCATCTAACAATAGGTACCGAACCTATCGACCTCTTATGCACAAGAATAACGGATCGGGTTTATTTTTGTTTTCAAAGTTGGTTTTGGTGTCACTTGTGACTTGCCTAAATAAACAAACGTAGCAACATTTTCCGGAGTAAAATTTGAAAATAGCAAAACCATATCATCATTGATGTGATAATCATAACAAATAACCCCGCAATTTTAAAATTAAACCAGTCCTCAAACTTTCATAATATAGTTTATTCATCCAAATTTGATTGAAACATTAAAGAAAATATAAGCAACGAAAAAAGGAAATTAAATGAAAGCGAAATTAAACACAAGCTCCCAACTAAACCCCAAACAGAATTGGCGTGGGCCAAGGTGGATGCATGAGAACAAAGGACGCGAGACCCTCGTCGCCTATAGATTCCCGAAGCTCCCCGAGCTTGCGACACGTGTCCTTGGAAACCCCACACTCGTAAACACTCTTTCCGCACATGACAAAAATTGAGTCACAATCTTTCGGGTGAAAAATGGCAGCAACAATCGTAACCCTGTCACCATCAGCAGCGACTGCATCCGGGAACTTCAACTCCCTCTCACCAACCAACGCCCACGTGTCGTCCCCACGGTCCAATTCCCAAACCCTCATGACGAAGCATTTTGGGCCCGGCCCGTTTTGAGTTCTCAAAACGTGCAACAACCTCAACTCATCCCTCACGCCACCAATGTGGACCCTCGAGTCGGGCGTGTCACGGGCGGTGTTTTCACGCACAATGTCTGGGAAGTAGATTACGCCACACCGATTAACGGCCAAATCTACAGAAACAATGCGGTCAAAGTTATATAACCCGTCCATCCAGTACAAAATCCCATTGCACGAAACGACATTGGCATTTTCGGGATGGTCCATTGTTGGGCGAGGGCGAGTAGGAAGCAAGAAGGAAGATGTGGTCCATTGCACCGACTCGGAGCAAAACACCCACATTACTAGTCGGTAGTTTTCGGCAATGGCTTCTCCCGAATCATCCATCAAGATCAAATTGTCAAAAAGTACCACCTTGTATGAGTACCTAGCATTAGGAGAGGGCTCGTTGCATATCAGTGCGAAACCAATCTTGTTTCCACGAGGGGATTCGCTTGGAATGGGGAACCACTTTTTAGTCACTGGGTTACAAATGTAGTACCTCTGACTCGAACTATATTTCCTCATATAAAAGCGGCTATCAGGGGTGACGAGCAACAAGTCATTGCACGATGCCTTTACGACCATGAGTTTAGGCATAAAGTCGAGATAGTTAGACGATGATAATAATGCATGCTTGCCGTGGATAAGCAAAGATTCCTCCGAGAAAAGAGTGCAAACCAATTGATAATACTCTCGGGTCTCTGAAAAATAACGATAATTCATGCGGAAAAGAATGGTGTAGGATTGATCTCGATCTTGATGGAGGCGGATGAAGCTAGGGATGAATTGGGGTTGAGAGATCAACGCATGCCAACGCCGACAAACAGAGCTCAACTGGATAACACATCGACAATTCGGGAGTCTAACAAGGATCTCCCACAATAGGTTTTCACCGACATTAGACAGCAAAGCTTCTGATGCTCGCAAGTGAAAAAAAAAAAAAGGGTATTTAGCAACCGTTTAAGAGTAGTATCTCATTATGTACTTCATGTCATTGTAGCAACAATCTCAATTACCGAGTCCATTGTCAACGGAGACCTCAATGCTTTTACTTCTACCGCTTTTCTGATCATAAATATAATATACTGTGTAAATTACACACAATCCCTTTGTATTGTAATATCAAAATGCACAAGCACATAACACGGCCAGTGGTGCATCTATTCAGATTGTTTGTTTCTTTTCCTTCTTATTGTTGTATACAAAAGATTTGTTCAAAAATATTTAGAGGTGTCTATCCCACCTTTTTACAACAGCACGGGATATAACAACAATACAGAAAAATAAAACTGAAATTAACTCCAAAAACTAAACAAATGAAAAACCTACCTTATCTTTCAAATTAATTACAGGATATAAATTTGAGAATGGACCTGATTAATCAGAATATTGGGATTGGAATCGGGATTATTATCCAATTGAGGGGCGGCCACCAGAAGAGCCACATGTATGGGTAATATTTTCATGGTTGGATCCCTTCCAGATATTCCCGTTACAAATCTCGGGTCTGTTATAAAATTATCAATTAAAAAAAACAATCCAAATTATAAACACAAGTAAATGAGAAAAGTACAAGAGAAAAAATTTACCAATGATCGAGTTGATCGACATAACGCTTGAATCCTCTTCTTTTTCCTCGGAGTTTTGATTTTAGAAAAACCCTTTGTCTATGAAAAAAATAGTACACGCTGCATATATAAATAAATAGCAAACGGAAGAAGAAAAAAATATAGTTACCAAGTCAATAAGGAATCGGAATATATATATATAAATATAAATATATATATATATATATATATATATATATATAGGGTTGGGATCCGGTGAGAATGACTGATAATGCGAGAAATAGGAATAAATTGTAGCCATTAGATCGGATGATCTAATAGCTAAAACAAATACAAAATTATAATGTGATAATTTTACACACCTCACAAAAATATGTGAGTCCCAATGCATATTAATTCACAGTAGAATTTAGTGGCTAGGATTTCATTTGCTTTGAGCACTTGGATTGAATAAGTTGGCATCGCCAACATGAGTAATTTAGAATTTCATTTGCTTTGAGCACTTGGATTGAATAAGTTGTCATCGCCAACATGAGCAATTTAGGATTATTATTGGAATTCAGCTTAGGATTGGTTATTGTCCGGTTTTTAGGATTTATTATGGGAATTCAGTTTGCTTGGTTTTAGTACCAACTATTATTGTTTATAAATAATGTTGAATAATAAGGTTTTTAATTGTTCAGATTTTTTATTCAAGTTCAACTATTTACATTAATACTGAGTATATAACAGTAGCATTTAACACTATATAATAACATAAACATGAAAAAATTAAATTACAAAATAATTTCCACACACTTACCACTTTATTCAGAAAAATAAATAAAACATAATATTACCAAGTAGATTGGGAATTATAAAACGGATTTTACCTACATGAGTCGGAAATATAAAACAGAATCTAATGGAAACTATGCAATTCATGCATATTCGGAAAAACATTATTCAAACAAACTATTAAAACAAATATTATTCATGCACATAAATATCTATCTAATTGAAAAAAATTAAAGTAAAAAAAAAATTCATTCATTCACCACTTTAGATTAATATTCAATATTAGAATACTATATAAGCTTAGCTGTCCAGGTTAAGTTGACTACAGAAATGGCAGTATTTTTTCAATGTAGAAACAAGCAATATTATTCATCACTTTATAGTAAAAAACTAAATAAAATATATTTTTACCAATACCATCTAACAAGTTGATTTAATAAATGGCAGTATTTTCCAATGAATAAATAAGCAATAATATTCAATACTAAAATACTGTTAGTCTACTGCCCCATTCTATTCCAAACATTCACCACCTTATATTAAAAAACTAAAGCAACAGATTCAAATAACATACTTTATATAAAGAAAAGCATATTATTTTTTGCATAGGATTAAACAATTCGAACAATATAAAACACAACAGCATTAATCCAATTATTTAAAAGTAAATTTGCAGTCAGGGGAACACAAGTTTCCAGCTATTTAAACAAAAATCAATCAGGAACATAAACATCTATTTCATGTAAATTAATTTCAAATAACAATAGCAATTCGGATACACAGTAATTTTTAATTGATTCAAACAATTAATTACCAAAAATAATGCACGTGTTAAATAGATAGTTATTTTTAAGTTAAACTGATAAGTTTGGTGAGGAACTTCTAGCATTCAGTACCCTCATCTGCTCCGTGAGCTCGGCTAGCTGCTGGGCCATGGCGTTGTTGCTCGTTCCTATCTCATGCACTGTCGCCCTCTTTCCTCTGATGCTCTTCTGAGACGAGTTCGCACTTATTGTCTCATATATCACAATCATCTCCTCCGCCGTTTTGCCTCCAATGTCCCCTCCGGCTGCAGTATCCACCATGTACTGCAAGTTCTGGTGGAGGGAGTCATAGAAGCAATTCGCTAATAGCCCATGAGAGAGGTTGTGGTGGGGGCACTGCCTCTGGAGGTCTTTGAAACGTTCCCAAGCCTCGTGAAGAGGCTCGTTTGGCAGCTGAGCGAAGGAGACTATCTGAGACCGGATATCTTGGGTCTTTTGATGGAAATAGTACTTCCCAACGAATTTAGCGTAGACTTCGGCCCAAGTTGTTAGACAATCCGGGGCGAGGGTCATACCGCAACCTCGCAGATTCAACCACGGTATAAGCATCGATAGTAAATGAGTGGTACCACCACTCATCTATAATTGACTCCACGGTAGCACATATCCAAACATCGGTTTCCTACATTTTTAAATGAACAATTTCATAAATTATTTTCATCAAATATAATTGACACATATATAAATGTTTTTATATTACCTCGGCTGTAGCAAATAGTGAGTCAACAGCATCGCCACAGACTACAAGATGCGAACACAAAACAAGTTACCCCTTCAAATGACAATGAAAAAAGCATACGAAAATTGTTCCCAGGTTTATCCCTCAAACATCGAATAAATAGTCATGAAAAACTCATCGTGTATCTATCTATCACTCCTGGTTTCTCCAATAGGCCGAGTTTGGAAATGGCCGAAAATTGAAACTATACCGAAAGTCACACCATGGATGATAAATGTTTTTCGGGCAACAGGAACATCCACGATCTGTACCAAAACAAAATGTGCTAACTAATGAAAATCATCCACAACAAAACAAAACGACACGATTAATAAATGACACGATTAATAAATAAAACAGAGGAAATTATTACAATGGGCCTGCAAAACTGGTATTTAATCATCGACCAATGATGATAATTTAAAGAAACATTTCTTACCTATTTCGACCTCCTCCTTCTGCATCCAAGTGGCCTCAGCTGGTGAGAATGTAGCAAGCACATACTTATCATCACTGCCATCATCTAAATAGAGTTCGGCGAAAAAAAGGAGCACTTCTTCCTTGGGGCCCACCCTTGCCTCAAAGTTCAAATGCACCCAATGTGTCCTCTTTTCAGTGAAGTCCATCAATAGACCTGTGCTCGTAAAACCATTGCCTTCAACAGCCCTTTCAAACTTCAAGCTTATTTCCTCTGTCTTTTTTTTTTTTTTGATAAATAAAACAAAATGATAGATTAGGAAAGGACCAGAGGTAAAACGAAGAAAAGAATAGAAAAAGGTTTGAGATGAAATCAAATACTTGTTTCGCAATGTAATCCTGTAAAGCGAATTCAGCCAATTTAGTAGCAGCCTCTTTAGGCAGTAACTTAGGATTGCTATCCACTCTGAATTGTGAAAAATCAAATTTAGTTATTACTTGCTCAATTTTCAATTGCCAAAAACAAAAATATATATTAGTGGACAGAGAGAAGAGATTACGTAGCGTCAAAACCAGCACGAAATCCACGACGCGGGTGATTTATGTAAGAAAAACAACCCGGACAACCATACTCTGTATCAATCCATGAAATCAAAAAATGTTAATAGTAATAACAATACAACAATAATTTCAAACATAGTGAGTGAGCCTTTTTTTTTTTGCCTCACGCAAACTATAAAAGATCACAGGACTAAACTAGTACAATTGATCAAACGGGATAAGATAAATTGCTGTGCTCTATGTGCAAACAATCATTGGAAAACAAAAACAAAAGTTAGTTCAACAAGATTGAAAAAGCCGAATACCTCCATCTGTAGGTATTATAATAAAAATTCGTATTCATATCTATGATAATTCATTATGAGAAATTATTGAAAAATCATGCAATATAATTCATTAAATGTAATTAATTTACTTATTGTTAATTCCGTCAATTTTATTTTATATAATCTTATATTTGAAATATTTGGTTAAATTTGTATTAATTTATATCTTATATCATGGAGTTCTATCAATTATAAACTAATATACAGTAGAAGTCAAAAATAAAATGCCAAAATTTTATTCTTCCTCATGTTTAATAAAAAAAAATATTCAATTGACATTTTATAAAGATAACAAATGTAATAACACTAAAATTTATTATAGAATTTAAAATTCAACGATATGGAATGAAATTAAAATTCTTAACAAACTCTAAATATTATAAACATCTCCAGCTCCTTGCTAATGTTGAGGGAAAATATCAACGACATGGAATGAAATTAAAATTCTTAACAAACTCTAAATATTATAAACATCTCCAGCTCCTGAGGGAAAATATCATCATCTTGAGGGAAATTTCTACTATATTTGGTAACATGAGTTCTTCCATGAAGCACAAGTTTCCATATGTTGGTTATGATATCCTTCTTCCCATGATTAAATTCAATGACATAGTTGCCGATAGCATACACCTCGCCTTCGTTCAGTACACCTCGAAATGCTCCCATATGTTTGGAACGTATTATGCCTTTAATGAAAGTACCCTGCAATATAAATTTATAAATATGAATTAAAATATTTTTTAAAATTATATAAATTTGATATTACAAATAAATACTTACCAGTTCATCATGAAACAGTATATGGAATGCGTTCCAGCTCTCCCGTTGGTGATGGGTTTCAACTATTATGACTGCTTTCAAGTGCAAAAAAAAGCTTGTTTCTTCTACTCAAGGAGTCGAGTGTATCCCACACTGGCGGCATTAAATTATCGATGTGTTAAATTATCGAGATGTATCTCTTTTTTTTTTTATTTTTCTTCTATGCAGTGTGAATGACATGAAGAGACTTCAAATGATTTTTTTTTCCTCTCAAGTGTGAATGACGTGAACTCATGATTTGTGTAATTATATAATGATAATTATGAGAAAGTATTCCATAAACTTATCTCTTTAGTTTGAGAAGATATTCCGTACTTATCTCTTTAGTTTTTCAAAATTTCGTGTAACTTTGATATTATAAATGTTTTGAATTTATCATCATAATCCCAATAATATCTCTAACCAATTACTTTTTGAATTCAAGTTTGAGTTTTGTAATAATTTTCGAGTATTATAAATGTTTGAATATGAATTCTATATTTAGAATGTCAAAGTTTTATTTTTTGGTCAAAAGTTGCTAAAAAGGTATTTTAACAACAACATTTATATATATATATATATATAGATATAGATATAGATATAGATATAGATATAAGGAATGTAATTATGTAATATTTTTATATTGTTTAAGTGGAACGTGCAAATTCAAATTCCTCTATGATGATTAGTTCTACGCCGTAGTGTTAAAGGGCCCAACTCGGATTTAAAGGTTTTGAAGCCCACTATCTATTTACTTTTATATTATTTTTATTATATGTAATTCCCCATGTGCAGACTGAACGATATATGGGGTGAGACTTGAAAAGAGTCAGTTCAATGGTTAAGTCCTTTGGTTTGAATCCAGCAAACTGAATGCTGAAACCATTGCCATTCACTCTCTCGACTAAAGGTTTCCATTTACTTTACTCCATTTTCCTGAAAGTACATTGTAACTTCATTACACCTATCTCATCCTGGAGTTTTTACTGTCAAGGCTCCGTTCTTTTCAATGTTCCCTGTAAGATTGTGGAATATTCATGTGTTTACTCTTTTTAGCAGAAATATTGGCACACTTTTTGTGTTATGAATCACATACACTATTTAGACAACCGATTTATTTTGGAATAGCAAGTGAAAGATTTACAACAAGATTTGGATTTGATGTTGGCTGACACTGTAATCGAACATTATTGAGGAAGTTACCTGAAAAGCTGTAGTAGTACACCCACGAGTGATTCTTGATATTTGCACGAACAAAGGAAAAATATGGGCTCGAGCTCGACTCGAGTTCGGTCAAACACGAGCTCGAGTCGAGCTTTGACTCGAGCCGCTCGGTTCGTTTGCAGCCCTATATGAGACTTTAGTATAAAATAAAGTTTAATTATTGGAGAATATAATATCTAACCATTAGACAACTTAGGAGAATAAGTATTACTAATATATATAAATAATCAACTATCCTTTAGTCTAAGCTTGAGTTTTAGTCCAATGTCCAACACTTGAATTGAGGTTTGGCCTAATTAATTGCTACTTTTTTTTTATTTGGGATAAATAACCAATGCATAAATTTCTTCTTTGGATTCTCTGATCTTCCTGCTTTTCATCTTGGATGCAAGAATATATATTGTACTGTTCTTGCTTTATAGTACAAGCAGTATTTTATTTTTTATTTTTTATTTTTATTTTTACATAAATATGAAATAGTTGATTTAACAGCATGAAAAAGGACCTCTGCATCAGAACAAATAGTACACCCTGTTTGAGTAATCCAAAAATATCCCCATCAATGAATGCTCTAGTATGTTTTGATTCTTACTTTGAAACAGAAATATGGTCTTTGTCATCTAAAATAATATATAAACCTACAAATATGGTTTAGAAGTTGTGGGTAATTTGTCAAAAGATATTCATTTTAGTTTATTTAATTTTTTAAGGTGGCATAAGTGTAGGCATGATTATGAATTGAAGCAATNATGGGTTAGGGCTTATGTGATAAAACATATTTGTAGTTGTTTGGGTTTTGATAGTTGGGTTTGGGTTTGGTGGATGGGCCAGCATGACAAACTTTATCCACCAAATCGACACATGCTCTTCATTTTTTTTTATTTTTTTTTGGATGACGGATTTGGAGCATAACTCTTGAAACCTAAAAATTTGAAACTTCATACATCAAAAGATAGACCAAGCTACTATTTGATTAATATATATATATTGATATCATAAAAAACTCTGACCATAGAAGATAGCAGGTCATTGGTCAGATGAATGATGCATTGGCTTCTTGAATTGAAGTTTTCTACTTAGTTATATGATTCTATTACATGTTCTCAAGTTGAGAGGTTATAATATTAAGTTGTGGAGTGTTTTGTTCAAATACAACACTTTCCTTGTAGTGATTATGAAAAGTAAAATAAATTGTGTTCGACGCGCGTCATTTATTATTTGGGCACTATTTGATAATTTTGGTAATTGCATTGCTTAAATTTGATTAATCCCAAGTTGCTCAACCTTTTCTGGACTTCACCAATTTAATTGAGCATAAATATATATTTTTTTTCCATTTGCAATACAGAGCTATAAAAAATTTTGATGTCATCAATTAGCTTGATTAATGAACTTATTTTTGTTGAAATATTAGTAGATTATGTTAGATAAGGGCCAAATTAGTAATGCATTTGCACATAGACGAATACTTTACAAAAATAAAAATATAAAAAAAATAAAAATAAATCATAATTTAATTCATGAAAAAACATATGTATTAAGAAAATAATTCTCAGAATTGATTTTGATAAAGTAATTGCTATGGAAGAGTCGTTACAACTATTTTCTTTATGCTAATACACCCAGCCATTTTCATGAGTGGGTGTGACTTAAAATTTGAGTACAATTTTGTAACTCCTTTGAATGATTTATGCTCATAATTTATGGCATTCAAGCAACTTATTTTGTAACTTAAAAATGAAATTGAATGCTGAAAATTTTGGAGGGAGAATAAAATTTAATGCATGAGAATAAATTTAATGCATGGTAATAAAACTAAATGCTTTCTCATAAGTTTATGGAATATCTTCACATTGTTTTTAAGTTCAGTTGTTGTTTTGTGATTCACTTTACCTTCGCTTGGGAAGATCTCAGCTCACACAGCGGCGCCGGAGAATGATCGTCTGCCTCGCCGCCGTCGGCCACCAGGTGCGCCGGCGGTCTCCCTGTGAACTATTTCCGTCGGCGATTGTCTCAATCATTTTTACCGCTTCAATTTTTTGACGTAATTTGCAATTCGTGACAGCATGTTGTTTGTTGCCATTTGCAGAACAATCCTTTGTACATACAGAGCTTTACATAGGCAGATGACGCGCTCAAGCTCCATCACATAGTTCACTGTTCGCTCGACGTCGTCGAAGAAAGAGGTCAGCTTATTTATTAGATCTTATGTAAGACTGCCTGCTGAATGAAAACCTAATTCTCGATTTGATTCAGGCATGCATTACTATTCTATTTGTTGCAGCAATGAGTATTGTAGTTTCTGAATTGATCTAAACAATGATTTAAGATTTTCTATTTTGATGATATTTCATATAGTATTCAGCAAAATGGGAAATTTTGCAGCTACACCTGATATCATTCAAAGCTTGGAAGGGAAAAAAAAAATCTCATAGCAGTAAAGTGGCACATATTTCCCTTTTCTTCAACAAGGTACAAATGATGTTTTTTCATACTAAAAATGATTTCTTTCTGTATCATGTGATCAAGATGACATCAGATTAGCATTTTACACTAATAAATGAATAATTTAACATCAAAGAATTCCAATACGGCCATTTGAATCCTTCTCCATCAGTAATCTCAGTACATACGTAAAAAACCAAAGGTGTATGTGCTACTCCAGTCTTCTTTTTTTCCCCATCAATTTACATAATCTATTTTAGGTATTTGCCTAATCAAATGATTGTTGATAGATAAACTAATTATACTTTACAATAATAACATGTTAAACATGTAACGTAACTTGCCTGCTGGTTCGAGTGACCTTCAAAACGAGGAGCCTTTGATCTCAATTTCTCTGCTTGATCATATAAGTTGTAATGGAGGTAATTTCTCAACAACAGATTCAGAAGAGTTTCCTGAATAATAATATAATAATGCTACAGATCACGACAAAACTACTACAAAGATGGAAGATAAATGGATTGTGTGCAGTCACAAACAAACCTGCCCCAACTCATCATGACGTAAAGTCGCTGTCCGGTGCAAAGAAAGTAGAGTTCTGCAAACACATGACAGTTTTTTGTTACATACAACATCATTATTACCAAAAAAAAAAACAAAAAAAACTAAATTATCACTTCATTCCTGCATAAATAAGTTGAATCAGAAATTATGATATTCATGGGTTCATGGGTGCGGAGCAATTCAAACTAAAAGAATTACACATACCCTCGTATTTCAGCTAGATTTCCAGTAAGTTCATAGCTCAGAGAATAATAAGAGTACAGCCTCGATGCCAGTACATCTATTGTTATCCTGTTGAGATTCTTCACACGAACAATACTTGCTGAGAACAAGCCTTGGCCTGAGAGTAGAGAGAGAAACATCAAACACTGTTACAAATTAAAATAACATATGCCTTGTTTTCACCTTGAAATGCATAACCCACCTCATTGTATCTCTTTTGGTCAATCAAAAATATTAGCACGAGCAAATAGCAATAGATCTCAAGCTCCGGTAAGGCATGCTTTCGTATGAGCAATATTATCCACCTCCATATCATGCTCATCTCCCTGTAATAATCAGTAATTTAATAAGAAAAGATAAAACATTAGTGTATGTAGTTAGCTCTATATGTGTAACATCACCCTCAAGTTGCACTTCCAAATTATCTTAGTTATAATTCTATACGTGGCTAGTCGTATACAATTTGGTTTAAAAAGATTGAAAAAAATAGAGTATGGGAAAAAACAATTATTTTTCCATAGAACAGTAAAAAAGTGGAAATAAGGGAGAAATAGTCACCTACATAGCAACTATAACAACTGGAGTTGACAATATCATGAGCTAAAACTTAAAACCAATTTCCAAATGCCCATTTTTCATCCAAAGAAATATGGATACGTACGAGAGACCACTTAGAAAATTCTCATAAATTAGATTGCTACATCAAGATAGGTTGCTCCGTTCATACCTTAGGAACATACGAAGACAAGCGTGAATGAGTCTCGGAACCAGTCACGAGTGCAAAGTTGAAAAACTCAGAAAGCACAGAAGCATTAAGCTTCGTTCTCATTTGAATTGTCCACCGAATTGCCCTAATGATCCTCCTAACCTCTCGGGTGTAAGCTCCCGTCTCAATCAGTGCGGCAATGTCTTTCAAATCTAATACGAACAATCAAATAAAATAGAAATGTGAAACTTCAATTTCTAACCATTTTACAATGCAGAAGAAATCAGGTAAAATGGATTTTCATAGGAAACTAAATTTAGATGAAACAGATCACCTCTAACCAGACAATTTTTTACTCTAATGTAGCTAATGCTTCTCAAAATCACACCACATAACCACATTTTGATAAATTTCTAAAAAAAAAAAAAAATCTAAGCTCCAAATTCTACAACTCTACTCGCGTTGAATGGTGGATGGCGAAGAGTCGGAAATGGAGTTGGTCGTGGCAGGCTGCTGCTCCTTCATCTCCACGTCCTGAGCCATCGTTGCCAAAGCCTGTAAAATAAACGCAAACACGAAAGACATATAAAACATGGAAATAAAAACAGGAAACTCCATTCTTTCTTCTTTTGACGAAAGCTACGAACAGTGATCAATTTTAGCTGAAGCCTGAACCCAATTGAGAAAAAGTTATTCTTCTGAGAAGATTAGACCCATTTATGGTAAAAGCTAGGTAGGTGCGATTACTTTCTTCCGCTGCACGTCAACAAAAATGCAATTTTTTTTCCGGAAATTTCAAAAGCATGTGCGCGATTAGAAAGATAAAGAGGGAACATGAGCCAAGAACCTGAAATTCGATGATTTTATCTGGGGTTTTAAATAAGTAAGCCCTGGAATTGAAGGGCTTGATTGATTTGGGGATTTATTCTCCAAGAAAGCTGTAAAGCGAGCAGGTTACATTAGACAGAGCTGCAGAGCAGCGCAATGAGTTGCAAATCTCAGGATGAAGATCAATATTGTCATTCAGCAAATTTTGAGAGAGGTCTTTGAAATATCTTTATAAAATGTTTTTATAATCACATTAAAGTTTTTTTAATAAAGGTTATGAAATGAAAGAAAAAATATTATAAACTCAAAGAATATGTGTATCTCTTTTTCTTTTTCAAATGTCATACGCTTATTTTTTATAGATTTGTTATTAAATATATTTTATTTCTTAACTTCTTTTTTTAATACTTACCAAATTATTTCAATAATTTATTTTAATATAATTCACAACAAAGTACCAAATTTAAAATATATCAATAAAGATAAGTTGAAATTTGAATATGGAGATATTAAAAGAAACGAGTCGCTTGTGAGTTTTGCTCGACTAATTTATCTAGCTCAAGCTCATTTAAGCGAACTTGACTTGTTAAGCTCAACTTTGATTTGTTAATATTAACAAACGAGTCGAGATCGAACTCGTTTATCGTTCATTTTATTAAATAGCCGAGTCGGCTTGACAAAAAATTGGAACTTCAATATCATAAACTGGAGATTAGTTCAGTTCGACTTATTTATACCAAGGTTGTCAAAACCGGACCGGTCGAGCTACTGGTTCAATGGTTCACTGGTCCGACCAATGGTTGAACCGGTTGGACCATTATTTAATTTATTGATATTTTTAAATATATATATATATATAATATTTCATAAATATAGTTAAATTAATTTTTAAGTTATTTAATTTATTGATATTTTAAATATATAATACTATAAATATTAAATATAGTTGGCTTATTTTTTAAAAGGTTGGTCCCACCATGTATAGATTAAGCAATAAAATGATTGTACAAAAATATGGAAAAAAAAAAGAAATATTTCCTCACACTCCCACATTGGACAATAAAATAATAGGAAATAAAGATGGGATAAGGGAAAAGAAATTCCTTCCACACGCGTGACTTTAGTCCTTTAGAGCATGATTGGATATAAATCCAACCCAAAAAATCCAATCATTTTTAACTCAACCACTTTTTTTTAACTCAACTTTAACTCAACCCCACTATCATCAATATTATCAATATAATTAAATAATATCAATCAATCATTCTTACACACAACATCAACCTTAATTAACTATTCCTCAACTCACATAATTTAAACTAACCATCACATCGCATATTCTCTCTCCTACTTTTACATCAATTTAATTTTAATCATTTTATTTTAAATATTATTTTAATATACCCACTAACAACTAACCATACCAACTTTTTCAAATTTAACCAACCCAAACCAAAAATCCAATCAAAACAAAAACTTTTTATATCCAATCATGCTCTTACCATTACAATTGAAAATTTGGAATTCTTACATCTTGTCTCACATCGGTAACCATAAAAGGTTAGTTGCTTTATAGAAGTGTTAAAATTTATACATAAAAATTTTTGAACGGATTGACAAAAAAAAAAAAAAAAAAAAAAAAAAAAAAAAAAAAAAAAAAAAAAAAATTGACCGATTGAACCAACCGGTTTTTTGACCGGTTTTGGCCACAGCCGATTTCTTCCATTGAACCAGACCGGTTAACTGGCCGGTTTCCGGTTCAACCGGTCGGACCGGCCGGTTTTGACAACTATGATTTATACACAACAATATTTATATAGTATAGCAAAAAAAAGAAAGAGAACATGGGCAAACCAAATTCTAAGTGAACACTCAAATAATTCGAGGAGAAAAGCCTTTTAAGCAGGTAGCTCCAGAGATGCCAATAACGCCTCAGAATGAATAAGGAAAACATAAAAATCGAAGAGCATCAAACTACGTATTGGTAATATATGTAAGTACAAAGTATTGAGTTACATTGATAGCAGCTAGCTGATTAGTCCGAGAATAAACGACGCCTATCAAAATATATTTACATTAGCAGCTCATTGAAATATAATCATAGTGCACTGATGATGAAAAGTAAGGAGAATATACCGATTTCACCAAATTAAATAGTAAAAAACAATAAAGTCTAGAACACCAACCCATGAACTCGATCACTTCATAATCCCACGCGCAAAGGATGTCATCTACCTATATACGCCAATTCCTTCGCGACCCCAATGTGGTCCCCAGCTATTTAGTACCTCACAGTATGGCTCGTTGCTCATAGAACCAAATCCCGTAAGAACACATGTGCGTAACGAGAGAGCACCGTCTTCGTCATACAGAGTATCTGCGGGCAACAACTCATCCGCCCCGAGCTCAGCAAGGCCCGCTCTGAACATTATAGACGCGAGGAGTGGACAGCGTCGGATCCGCGTCTCAGGGAGTCATGGTCGGTGTTTTCGACTTCTGTGTCAAATTCATCCGCGCCAGTACCTTGTGAAATCTTCACTATAGTATTTCGCCTTCTCTTCTCAATGGCCCTAAACCGCTCAGTATTCCATGCTTGTTGAGGCTCATATGCATGTTCAAACGCGATCCCGTGTACCTCTAAGAATCTCACAATACGCGCATTGATATTTACACCATCAAAATTATTCGCGCCGTCTAGACACCAATCTATATCACGTGGGAGGCGGACAGTGACCCCATCCTCCCTTTGTAATCCCTTTCCGGCTTTGCCTCATTTTGATCTCCATAAATGTCAGGTGCGCGAACATTTCGCATAACGCTGTGAGAAACAATTGTTTTATTGCATAACACCGTGTACCTAAAACAATTGTTTCTCACATCGTTATGCGAAATGTTCGTGCACCTGATATTTATGAGATCAAAATGAGGCAAAGTTGGCCTGGGGATTACAAAGGGAGCGTGAGGTTACTGTTCACCTCCCACGTGATGGATTGGTGTCCAGACGGCGCGAATAATTTCGACGGTATAAACATCAATTATCTCAACGCGCGTATTGTGAGATTCTTAGAGATACACGAGGTCGCGTTTGATCATGCATATGGCCTCAGCAAGCAAGAAATGCCGAGCAGTTCAGGACCTTCGAGAAAAGAAGGCGAACTACTATAGTGAAGATTTCACAAGGTAATGACGCAGATGAATTGGACACAGAAGTCGGAAACATCGACCATGACTCCCTGAGAAGCGCGATCCTAAGCTCTCCACTCCTCGCGTCTATAATGCTCAGAGTGGGCCTCGCTGTCGCTGAGCTCGGGCCGGATGAGTTGCTGCCCGCAGATACTCCGTATGACGAAAACGGTGACAGTGCTCTCCTTACACACATGTGTGCTTACGGGATTTGGTTCGATGAACAACGAGTCATACTATGAGGTGCTAAATAGTTGGGGACCACATTGGTGTCGCGAAGAAATTGACTGTATATCGGTAGATGACATCTTCTGCACGTGGGATTATGAAGTGATCGAGTTCATCGGTTGATTTTCCAGACTTTGCTGATTTTTACTATTTAATTTGGTCACTTTTATTGATTGAACTCTAGAGACTGGAATCGGTATATTCTCCTAACTTTTCATCAGTGCACCATATTATATTTCAATGAACTGCTAATGTAAATATATTTAGATAGGAGTCGTTTATTCTCAGACTAATCTAGCTAGCTACTATCAATGTAACTTAATACTTTGTACTTACATATATTGCCAAACTTCAATAAAACAAAATGATAGATTCAAACTTCAAGCTTATTTCCTGGATCTTTTGTTTTTCAATAAAATAAAACAAAATGATAGATTAGGAAAGGACCAGAGGTAAAAAGAAGAAAAGAATAGAAAAAGGTTTGAGATGAAATCAAATACTTGTTTCGCAATATAATCCAGTAACGCAAATTCAGCCAATTTAGCAGCAGTCTCTAGAGGCAGTAACTTGGGATTGCTATCCACTCTGATTTGTGAAAAATCAAATTTGGTTATTACTTGCTCATTTTTCAATTGCCAAAAAAAATATATATTAAAGGATACAGAGAAGAGATTACGTAGCGTCAAAACCAGCACGAAATCCATGACGCGGGTGATTTATGTAAGAAAACAACCATACTCTATCAATCCATGAAATTAAAAAATGTTGATAGTAATAACAATACAACAATAATTTCAAACATAGTGAGTGAGCCTTTTTTTTTTTTTTTTGCCTCACGCAAACTATAAAGGATCACAAGACTAAACTATTACAATTGATAAAACAGGATATTACTTGAGATGTTGTAATTTTTTAAGATATGCAACTAAGTACGAAGATGTTTCTCTATCAGAGATTTTTACCAAAAATCAAATCAAAAAGAGAAAGAGTTGCATCATAATCGAATAAAAAAAGAAAGCAATAGGTTAATAAGAGGAACCACCAAACATATCATTTAGAAAAAATAGATAAATTGATGTGCTCTATGTGCAAACAATCATTGAAAAAGAAAAACAAAAGTTAGTTCAACAAGATTGAAAAAGCCGAATACCTCCATCAGTAGGTCCCACGAGTGATAATGTAGTGAGCTCCAACCCTTTTCCACCTGAATATACTTCGGCAAACAAAAGAAGTGGTTCGTCCTTGGGACCAGCATTTGGCCGCCTGGCCTCAAAGTTCAAATGCCTCCAATAATAGTGCCTCTCTATAAAAGCCCCTTGAAAAACCACGTCCCCTCATAGACATTCCGTCCAGAAACCTCACAAACTCCAAACCAGATCCCTGATAGAAAATCCGAGTTATACATACAATACAAAGCAGTGTTATCATATTACCAAAAAATTTATATGAATAAGATAGAACATCAACATGTTTGTTGTTGTAGTGTTGTAATGCAGATTGGGCTACGTTCTCGTTCCTATTTCTTATCTCATTAGGGTCATTCGGGTCTACACGTGCTGCTGCTCTCTGGCGCCTTCCCAATAACTCTCTGTAAGTAATTGGCTTGCGCTTACTACAGGAAACAAAAGATCAAGACATTTATTTTAATATACACTTCTGCATAGGACAACTGATGTAAGTTAATACATGAAGGAAGCAATACATCAAACCAGATTAGAGGAAAGGAGTAAAATCCACAAAATTTATTAAAAAGGAAAAAAAAACATGAGTAAGGGAACAAAAAAGAATTGTCACTCACAGCCCTTTTAATTCCAGTATCCGACTTCTGCTGCGCAGGACTTCAGTTCGCTGTCAAGATTTATGATATATGCAGAAAATTGAATTAAATTATGAACAATCATCAAAAGGAAAAGAAAATGACAAAAATATATGCAGAATTCCGCTACCACCTCTGGTTCCATGTCCGTCATTTTTGGAACTTTCAGCCTCTTCCTGGAATCTTTTTAGGCTTGCCATCCTCCCTGCAACAAGTATAAAAATGAAAATATTCAATCAAGCAATAATACAAGCCAACAGAACGAGAAACGCGAGAAAAAAAAAATGGAAGAGAAAGCTTCATAACCTAACCCTAACCCTAATTTATTTTCAAGATAGTAGATTCAAATAAACGAAAAGATAGTTTTCAAGGATGTCAACAACACACAACGCCACAGACTACAAAATGCGAACACAAAACAAATTACCCCTTCAAATGTCCATGAAAAAAGCATACGAAGAGTGTTCCCAGGTTTATCCCTCAAACATCAAATAAATAGTCATGAAAAACTCATCGCGTATCTATCTATCTCTCTTGGTTTCTCCAATAGGCCGAGTTTGGATATGGCCGAAAATCGAAAGCAAACCAAAAGTCACACCATGGATGATAAATGTTTTTCAGGCAGCAGGAACATCCACGATCTGTACCAAAACAAAACGTGCTAACTAAATAAAATCGTCCACAACAAACAGAAGAGATAAATACAATGGGCCTGCAAAACTGGAATTTAATCATCGACCAATGATGATAATTTAAAGAAACACTTCTTACCTATTTCGACCTTCTCCTTCTGCATCCAAGTGGCCTTAGCGGTGATAATGTAGCAAGCACATACTTATCATCACTGCCATCCTCTAAATAGAGTTCGGCGAAAAAAAGGAGCACTTCTTCCTTGGGGCCCACCCTTACCTCAAAGTTCAAATGCACCCAATGTGTCCTCTTTTCAGTGAAGTCCATCAATACACCTGTGCTCGTAAAACCATTGCCTTCAACAGCCCTTTCAAACTTCAAGCTTATTTCCTGGGTCTTTTGTTTTTCAAGAAAATAAAACAAAATGATAGATCAGGAAAGGACCAGAGCTAAAAAGAAGAAAAGAATAGAAAAAGGTTTGAGATGAAATCAAATACTTCTTTCGCAATATAATCCTGTAAAGCGAATTCAGCCAATTTAGCAGCAGCCTCTGTAGGCAGTAACTTAGGATTGCTATCCACTCTGAATTGTGAAAAAAAAATCAAATTTAGTTATTACTTGCTCATTTTTCAATTGCCAAAAACAAAAATATATATTAGATGACAGAGAGAAGAGATTACGTATCGTCAAAACCAGCACGAAATCCACGACGCGGGTGATTTATGTAAGAAAGACAACTTTGACAACCATACTCTGTAACAATCCATGAAATTAATAAATGTTGATAGTAATAACAATACAACAATAATTTCAAACATAGTGAGTGAGCCTTTTTTTTTTTGCCTCACGCAAACTATAAAAGATCACAGGACTAAACTAGTACAATTGATCAAACGGGATATTACTTCAGAAGTTGCAACGTTTTAAGATATGCAACTAAGTACGAAGACGTTTCTCTATCAGAAATTATTACCAAAAATCAAATCAGAAAGAGAAAGAGTTACATCATAATCGAATAAAAAAAGAAAGCAATAGGCCAATGAGAGGAACCACCAAACATATCATTTAAAAAAAATAGATAAATTGATGTGCTCTATGTGCAAACAATCATTGAAAAAGAAAACAAAAGTTAGTTCAACAAGATTGAAAAGCCGAATACCTCCATCTGTAGGTCTCACAAGTGATAATGTAGTGAGCTCCCACCCTTTTACACCTGAATATACTTCGGCAAACAAAAGAAGTGGTTCGTCATTGGGACCAGCATCCGGCCGCCTGGCCTCAAAGTTTAAATGCCTCCAAGAATAATGCCTCTCTATAAAGCCCCTTGAAAAACCACGTCCCCTCATAGACATTCCGTCCAGAAACCTCACAAACTCCAAACCAGTTCCCTGATAGAAATTCCGAGTTATACATACAATACAAAGCAGTGTTATCATATTACCAAAAAAAATTATATGAATAAGATAGAACATCAACATGTTTGTTGTTGTAGTGTTGTAATGCAGATTTGGCTACGTTCTCGTTCCTATTTTTTATCACATTAGGGTCATTTGGGTCTACACATGCTGCTGCTCTCTGGCGCCTTTCCAATAACTCTCCGTAAGTAATCGGCTTGCGCTTACTACAAGAAACAAAAGATCAAGTCATTTATTTTAATAAACACTTCTGCAGAGGACAACTGATTAGAGCCAATTCTTATAAGTTAATACATGAATGAAAAGCAATACATCAAACCAGATTAGAGGAAAGGAATAAAATCCACAAAATTTATTAAGAAGGAAAAGAAAAACACGAGTAAGAAAACAAAAAAGAATTGTCACTCACAGCCATTCCAGTGGGACTTCTGTTCCTTGTCGATATTTAAGATATATACAGAAAATTGAATTAAATTATGAACAATCATCAAAAAGAAAAGAAAATGACACAAAGAACTTTCAGTCTCTTCCTGGACCTTTTTTCATGCTTGCCGTCCTCCCTGCAACAAGTATAAAAATAAAAATATTCAATCAGGTAATAATACAAGCCAACAGAACGAGAAACGCGAAAAAAAAAATGAGAAATGGAAGAGAAAGCTTCATAACCTAACCCTAACCCTAATTTATTTTCAAGATAGTAGATTCAAATAAACGAAAAGAAAGATAAAAACAAATAAATTATTAACAAGTTGCCAATACAAGTGTTACAGAAATGCAGGGATTGAGGATGATGGTCAACGGCGCGGAGATGGTGT